TCAGCACCCGACTCAGGTAATGATTTAGCAACCAGTCAGATCAATCCCTTAACATTACTGATACTTTTCTTCAACTACCAGAACCTAGCCCATATCTGCGCCTTCTTTGGCTACGTTGACTACTTCAGACAGCTGCAGGTCTCCCCTTCGTACACATCACTGGACAGTATTTTGAACCACCAGGATGAGCGCAAGAAGACGCCCCTTCACGTGGCCATTGAGAAGGAACGTCTAAATATAGTGCAGAGCATTCTCTTGCTTTCTCCAAAGTTGGACCTTCTCGACGAGGAAGAGAACAACATGGTTCACGCGGCGGCCCTCACCAATCGCGACATTATCTCCTCAGTGTGCAATTCAATTCAATCTCGCAGTGTCACCGCTCTGCCCAACGAGTCCTCAAACCTCACCGTACCGGATGAGGCGTCCAGAGCAAAGGAGCCAGTGACGCTGATTAAGCTGCTGAACACCAAAAACCGCAACAACTTTACGCCGCTGTACCTGGCGGCGAAGGCGGACAAACCTGACTGCGTGAAGGAGCTGCTGAAGTACGGCGCCGACGTGAACGGGGCGGCGATCGACGAGCAGCACCCGCCCCGGCGGGAGGACTCCTTCCAGGACCTGAGCGACAACAAGCTGATCAGCAAGCTGAACGACCGGGACATGAAGAACGGCGGCACGCCGCTGCACTGGTGCAAGAGTGCAGAGGTAGTGGAGATGCTGGTGGACATGGACTGCAACCTCAATGCGCGCAACTTTCACGGTGAGACGGCGCTGCACCTGATGATCACCCGCAACAACCTGCCCTGCGTCCTCACAATGCTCAGTCATGGTGCAGACGTGAACGCCGCCATCAGCGGCAAGGATGGCAGCAGTCCTCTCCACTTGGCCGTCAAGGTACTTTTCCCCGTCATCATCATTGTGCTTGTGGGCACTGTAATTGGGCAGTGTACACTAAACACACTCACTATTGATACTTTTGATTTCGTTTTTCCTCAGACCAATGACATCAGCATGGTACAGTCTATCATCGTTTTCGGCGCCAATGTGGACGCGCTAAATGGCAGTGGCGAGTCGGCGAGGCACCTCGCCGCCACCGCCAACGTCTCCCCCAGCAAGGACATTATCCTGTACATGCTGAATGCCGTCTGCGCGAAGAGGTGTGCCGGGCGAAAGGCCAATTGCAATGAGGGCTGCTCCTCTGAGTTCACCTTCAATGGCATTCCACCGGAGAACCCGTCATTCCTTCGCAACAGTCAGCTCTTTGATACTCTGCTCATTGCGCCCATCATCAAGGCCGCCGTTGGGAGGGCAACTCAGTTGAACAACAAGGCAAAGGAGGCACCTCCAGCAGGACAGGGAGGAGAGGAGGAGATGCCGGCGGCGAGTAATGGCTCGGAGACTCGGAAGGGCAAACTTCTCTCCCTCGATGGCGGCGGCATTCGAGGCCTCATTCTAATACAGATTCTCTGCCACCTGGAGACCTTGACGGGGCGGCCAGTGTACGAGCTGTTCGACTGGATCGCGGGCACCAGCACCGGTGGCATCTGTGCACTGCTGCTCGCCTCGGGGTACTCGGCGAAGGAGTGTCGGCAGATATACTTTCGCCTGAAGGACAAGATCTTCGTCGGCTATCGGCCGTACTGCTCGGACACGCTGGAGCGCTTCCTCCAGCGCTACCTCGGCAGAGAAAAGCGAATGCACGAGCTGACTACGCCAAAGTAAGTCTGTCTTCTTCAAACCGACGAGTTTCAATTTGATGACCACAACAACCTTCTTCTTTGAATGCCCACCAGAGTTATGGTCACAGCAACGGTGGCTGACCGTTTTCCGCCTGACATCAAGTTCTTTCGCAACTATGACGGCCCGAATGAGCTGCTTGAGATGCCGTACAAGCACGACTCACTTCCGGAGCTCAAAACCACCGAGGAGTACGTGTGGAAGGTGGCCAGAGCTTCGGGAGCTGCGCCGACCTACTTTTCTCAGTGTGATTGCTTTCTTGACGGTAAGGTGTTTTGAGTGAAAGTAAAAGCAATTAATTCATTTGACTCATTTGACTTTCAGGCGGTCTGGTCTCGAACAATCCCACTCTTGATCTACTTACCGAGGTGCAAAATATCAACCGAGTCAACAAAGTTTTGGTAATTTTAACCTCTTGTGAATCAGTCTTGAACTAACCCCAGCACCTAACTCACTAGCAAAAAGATTTAGAAGTAATGGACATTGGCCTGGTGGTGTCCATTGGGACGGGTGCAATACCGATACGCAATCTGGAGAGAATAAACTTTTCCTCGCTGGCTTCTCTTTCCGGTAAGTGGGACAATTTCAGTGGTGTTGGCATTTCGAACTCACTTTCTCTTCATCCACTTCCTCCCTCAGGCATCTCTAGTCTGGCGAGCAACCTGACGACGCTGATCAAGGTGCTCGTGGAGCAGGCCTCTCAGGCGGACGGGCAGGTGGTGGAGCGGGCGCAGGCCTGGTGCAGCATGATCGACGTGCCCTACTTTCGCGTCAACCCGCCCATCTCCGAGGACATTCAGCTGGACGAGTCGGACAACGCCAAGCTGGTGAACATGATGTGGGAAACACTGGCGTACATCTACCAGCACAAGGAGGATCTGAAAGATCTGCAGACGCTGCTCACGCTCCCCTTATAACAACACCCTTTCTCTCTCACTTTTTGTTATTCTTCGGTCACAGGTGGTGCTAGTTTCTTCACTACTCTTTGTTTGTTTGTTTGCCTGTTTGTTGCTCTTTTCACCTTTTGCTTTCGCCGAATGCAAATCCTCCATTACGCCATTAAAATGTGATTTTACACGTAGCATTAAGATTGCGCCACCACCACCACTACCACCTGTGTTCACACAATCGCGGACACGCTTGCATCAGGCTAAGCGAATCCTTGATTGGCGACCCGTGACGGCCACAGTTAGCCAGCCAGGCAGCTCTAAAGCTCTATGCTGGTTACATAACCACCGATTCTGCAGGACTTCCGGTAGGCAGATCAATCTCTCCCTCTCTTTTTAATTTGTGAGAGTTTGACAGAACGTGTACTTTTTTTCCTGCAGAACGACTGATTTGATTGCCTCGTCTGGCGTCCATTGGGCGCCAAAGCCTGTACGCATGACAGTTGGCGCCCGTGTGTGTTGTGTGTGTGTTTGGCGAGCTAGCATTGACTCAGCAGAGGCAGCCACTTTTGCCTGGATCGGACCAGTGCCTGTGAATCCAGTGCTCCAAGATCTTTTGCCGTCCCTTTAGCACAGTGAACGAGCTACGACGCTCTGACGCTTTCTGAAGTACGAGGAACGGAGTTTTTCCTTTCCCCATTCGAGATGGAAAGGTAAAGCAGTGTCATGCAACACACGACTTGCAGGCACTTTTCCAACTCACATTTGCCTACGTCTGCCGTACGACGAGTGCTGCTTCCAGTACAGCAGCTTCAGTATCCATTGCTGCTTTCCTTGAATTGCACTACCCATTATCATCGTCATCGCCATCAGCATTGCCTTCAGGTCTCCCTTGAAGACAGTTACTGCAGACGCATCGATAGAGACGTCGAAGACAGCCGGGAGACGTGAACTGGCATCAACAGTGTCTGCAGAGTCTTTGCTCTCTTTTCTTCTCTCTACAGTTTCGAAGCGAAAAGCGCCTGGCCTTCTCGTTATCTTTCTTCTCTCACTCCTTCACACCCTGCGTTTATGTGGTAGACGGCGCGCTTATTATGATCGTCCACGATGTCTAACCACAGCAGCGGCAACGACAACATTGACGCGGTTGTCAACAAGTCTTTTCTCATTCTTGATCAAATTCAAGAGTCCTACTTTCCACTTCTCGAGAAGTCCATCTTCTCGGAAAACTCCTCCGATCCGAACAACAAATCGAAGATCGCCAAGCTAGAGTTTGTCATTAACCAGCGTATTAAATATGTGGAAGATAACTGCAACGGCTTGGAGGGCTACCTCAGCAAGTTGACGGAAGCTGCCAACGAAAAACCTGGTGCTGACTTTCTGACGTATCGTCTCAATCAGCTAAGGTGAGAGGGCGTTTTAACATGCTTGCAATCTACGGATACTGATTCTTTTTTGGTTACAGGGGCGAGCAAAAGCGCATCCTTACTGCTTTCAAAGGGATCAAGCATAAGAGGGTGGAAAAGGAGCGCGTAGAGAGGGAACAGGAGGAGCTGCTGACCAGGCGATTCACCGCCTCTACTGGCGTCGATGCCGATGGACAGTCCAAAGGCAAGTTCGGCAGTGGAAGTGAGAACTTTGTCATCGACCTGGACGCGGAGGGCAGCGACCGAACGCACAAGAAGAAGGCGATGATGACCAACAACCGACAGACGGCAGTTGCCCTCTCCTCCAAATTACGAAATCAAAAGCCTCTGGTCAAGCGAGTTCGCACTCGCTACCTCGACTTCTCAACGGACTTCTTTGGCATGACTAAAGTTTTCCTCAAATATTCCTGCGTCGACTGGATCCTCCTCTTTGGCTTCTCGCTGGTCATCCTCATGGCCGTCTTTTGTTTCATCGTCTGGCAGACGACGCCACGACACTTTGAGTGAAAGGGGCCTTAAACACACCACCACCACGACAACAACAACAACAACAATACTGACACCGGTTTCACCAATTGCTTCCTCTTCAACTTCATCTAGTCTACACTGAATGACGGCAATGAGAATGAACACCCACACACACTCTACCTTTCACTTGATCTATCTTTTGTGATACACTATCCACACAATTCCTGTTTTGATTCCGTTCCATTTATATATTATTTGTTTTTCTTTTCTTACCTAAAAGACGCTGTTGCTGTATTACCACCACACCATCACTACACAGTTGTTGTTGCTGTTGTTACCGCTGCTAACGATCAGTTACCAGTATTCCTCCTTTGCCTTCCTGAATGACCACACTTGGCGCTATATTCAAACATCTCATTCAGAGAGCTGATTCATTTTGATATTAACATTTTTAAGTAAATAACTTTATGTCTACCCCTTTTTATTTAGTCCCTTGCAGTTCATCGCTAGAGTAGCGAATGATTCGGATGGGAATGTTCTCCGTGATGATGTGATTGTCCTCGAGAATGACGACAATTTTAACTTCAAACTCGATCTTAAAGTTGTTGGTGATCAACGTCGGACAGGTAAAGAGGCGAGGAAAAACCATGTAAATGGGTATCACAGTGTTTCGGGCCACCTCGCCGTCGCCGATTTGAATGTTTTGTATCTCGGTAACTGTTGGGTTCAAAGGGGTGTTATCGAAGACACAACAGAAGAGAAGTGCATACCTTCACACGCATATCCTTCGGCGCAACCACACGTTTCCACGCGGACCAGTTGCAGTTCAATGCTCTTGATCATCTGTTCGCAATGTTCAATAATCAGCTCACCGGTAAAAGGTTCCCATATGTAGCAGGTGGTCGAATCAATTCGGCCCGAAATCCGAAACTTTGGCACTCTTGTTTTCTAGTTGGCAAAATGTCGATTAAGCAAATGAGACAAACACAAAAAAATCTACTCAACGAACATCTTTAACATTCTGAAGGGAGTCTGGTGTCAGAACGAATTTAATTGGCTTGCCACCAGTGGCAGGACCGGAACCGATCAGGACAGGAATTTTAATGGCCTTTGGCGGAGGAGGTATTTCCACCATGAACTCAACCACCTTTTGGATGTCTTTGTTCAGCAGCGGTCTTTTCAGCTCGCATTTTAGGTAGTACTGTAGAAAAAGACAATTACACAATTTAATTGTGTACAGCTAGTGCTTCAAAGCAAACANGAGGAGGTATTTCCACCATGAACTCAACCACCTTTTGGATGTCTTTGTTCAGCAGCGGTCTCTTCAGCTCGCATTTCAGGTAGTACTGTAGTAAAAACACTTTAGTTGTGTACAGCTAGTGTTTAAAAGCAAACGAACCTGAATGCTGATAAAGACGCCGTGGTATGTCTCATAACAAGTCCGCCCCTGCTTTGGCTTGAGCAGTACTTCAAAGGGAATCTCCGTGCGACCACCGAGGAACTTGCCACTTCGAGCCACCTCTACGTACTGACTGATCAGTGGAATGGGCTGATGTTGTAAAAATACATAAATTTCAGAAAAGACTAGAAATCAGCAAGTTTCTTACTCGAGCTGAATTGTAGAAGGCTTCAAAGAGACCAACATTCTTTGAGCTTAGTTGCATGTTGACAGTAGCTTCAACGCTGAGAAAGATACCATCGTGCTTTGAGTCATTCTTGCAGTCCACCACAATGAGACCGGTTAAATTCTCCTGCATAGAGAAAGATGTAAAAAGATAGTCAAACACTGACACCCATAACTGACCCCTTCAAGGTAGACTTTATTGGCCCGTTTCAACTTTATGTCAAGATCCATAACTTTAGTCAACCAGCGTCAGCTGGGAAATCTCGTTAGCAGTAAACACTTTTGCGCAATCAGAATTTCATCTGTCACTGACAATCACAAAAACAAAACCCGATTGTAATGTTCTTGTTCCCAAGCCAAAAACTCCCAAAATCAATGTTTACAAAAAAAACTTGTTTTGATCTCCCTTTAAAAAGTGTTCCGGGAGAAATCTAACAAGCCGGGGAAAGATTTCCGGCAGTTTTTTCAGCCAGTCTAGCAGTCAGCAAAAAAATATGCGAGGAGAAATCCCGCCTTTCGCATCAGCGCACTGCGCGCGTCATGCTGAGCTCTAAAAGGCGGAGACTTCGGCAAGTGACGTAGTGCCTACTGTCAGTAGTGCAAACTGGTGCGAGCGCGTGGTGGCTTTTGCATACTGACAGTAAGCACTACGTCACTTGCTTTGACAGTGCTTTCCTGTGACACAAAGTCTCCGCCCCTTGGAGCTCAGCTTCCGATGAGGCAACCCTAGCCACAGGGACGGTTTTTTTCTCGCGTGAGATTTTCTGTTTTCCATGCTCATTTTTTCACTCTGCTACCGCAACGACCAAGAGATTAACGCCGTATAATTTACAAAATATGGCGTTAATCGGCGAGAAAAACTTCACAATCAGTCAAATAAACGGTAACGGATTCGGTTCAGCCAGCAGCAAGGTACGTAGAAATGTCAAACAATCGTCAAAAGCTAACCTTTTTTTCGTGCGCCACCTGGACACCGCCACAGTTCAACTACTATTCCCAGACTTCACTACTCAGCACACGTGTAGAGTTTAAATCTTCAAAAGAACATTCACCGGATGAATCCAGCGACGAGGAGGAGAGTGACAGCCTGAAAGCAAAGTACACCCACCTGAAACCGGATTCTGCTAACGAGGTAAAATCAGCTGGCGCGAGCGGTGGCGCTAGTGCTCTCCAAGCGAAGTTAGCAGCCGCCAAATCAACAAACAACAACAATGATCTCCTGCCGAAGCCAGCCAACAAGGATGGCAATGAACTTGGCCAGCCAAAGTTCATCCTGTACCCTCGAGAACGGATAAACACCCAACTTGACTGGAAGAAGGTAAGAAAGCGAGCGAGAGGAACTAACAAGGGCTAACAAGAATCTCCTCTATTTACAGCCGAACAGAATAGGTGCTGGCCTGAGCAACCTAGGCAACACCTGCTTTTTAAATTCCGTACTGCAGTGCCTAACTTACTGTCCTCCATTGGTCAACTACCTAAACGACACTATAGAGGAACATAGAGACAAATGTAAGTCACATGTACTTGTTTTGAACTGTTTTCTTTATCAAGGCCACTATTGTTTATTCGGTGTAGGTCGGCAAAACTTCTGTATGATCTGCCTCTTGACGAATCACATCAACAATGCACTGCAACGCATTGCACCCGTCATAAAGCCGATTCAAATATGTCAGCGAATCAAGTCAATTGCCAAGCATTTCAACTTTGGCCGACAGGAAGACTCGCACGAGTTCCTTCGCTACGTTATTGATCACTTATGGCGTTCGTGTTTGGCTATCCACGAGCAAGATCTGGGCGGTAACGCCAAGCTTGACCACCTGACAAAGTCGACCACTGCCATCAATCACATCTTCGGAGGGTATCACCGAAGCCAGGTTTCATGTCTGAATTGCAAGGAGAAGAGCAACACGTATGATTACTTTATGGACTTTATGCTTGAAATTCAGGTACATTTTGTCTCCCCTTTGCTCTAATCACGAACTAACAAGTTTTGCTCTTTTTT